AAGTCCGAGTATATTCAGTGAATAACCTTTTGCGGGAAATGCATCTCGAAATTATGCTGATCACACTGTTTGAGAACGTTTTGAGATGCATGCTTAGGGTGCCTTGCCTGCTTTGATGAATCATTTGAACGTCCAATGTTGATCAAGAATTACGCACGAAACTTGAGATTTCTGATATTTCCCGTCATTTTCCATTGTATGATGAGCAATGAAGGTAGCAATACGCAGGAAACTGCTTTGAGGTAATCTAATAAGCGTTCGTATGTTTAGCTCCAAGTCTGAAACGTTCTTACTCAGAATCTCAGTGCTTGAGATGCAATCTGATTGTTCGTTTCAATGTTTTAGCAGACGTATTTGTTCTTCTTTTTTTCCCCAATAAACCGTAGATTTATGTACTATGTGATGTTAATGTGAATTGGTGGGAATACGAGTGTTCTAGTTGTATCTCTCTCTCTTTGCTAGCTAGTAATGTCTCACTCCAACATCGAAACGAGACCAGCCAGCCACATCTGGTTGCAGGAATAACTGAGATGAATTCGCACATCTCTCTGTCAGGAAGATTTGCGGGGTCTGATGACCCGATCATCGTCCTCCAATTGCTGGAAATACCATTCAAACTATGAGCCAATTTTTGGTCTCTCTCTGTAATAGACTAAAGCTGTATCAGTAACTCCTTTCTGCAGAAAATGGATAAGTAAAAGAGAACAAAGAAAATATGAGGGTTAAACCCTTTTTTCTTTTGGGGGTCCTAACCACTCATTCAAATCTTTCAACCCCGCAGAACATGAATGCTCTGCCCTAGTTGCTGAAGCAGTCGTTGCAATGAATTGAGCACTTTTCTTTCTCTGTTGTGCAGTTGCCCGAACGTTTTCTACATTCCCGGTCCTGATGATTGTTAATTCTTAGCTTTGCCTGAAAAGCTCATATCGGTAGTATAATCAAGGGTGCAATTGAGTCGAGTTGATATGGTGTCAAGTTTGAGCTTGACTCGATTCGCTTACTCGGTGCTGGAAACTCGACTGAAGTTCGATCGAATATCAAAATTTAGGCTTGAGCTCGAGTCGACTTGAAACTCCAAACACTCAGAGCTTGACTCAATTTAAAAATAGATATATATGTACTCGAGCTCAAGCTTAATAAGCTCGGATATTTTTCTCGCATTGATACATGTGATGTGATGGTACAACATGTAATTCTAAAGACTATTGTAATGTATTTTTTAACGAAGTAATAAAAACTCGATTATGCTCGCAAGCTTTTCAAGCCGAGTGATGGTGAGCTTTAGCTCGACTCACCAAAATACTCGAGTTCCCTGACCTCTAGCTTGACTCGAAATGAGGTGAGTCAATTTTGAGCAATTACCCAGTCGAGCTGGCAGCTACTCGAACTTGAGCCACTGGTGAGTAGCTTCAACTTGACTCAGATTCACCGGACTATAGATATGTCCATGGCGAGTTTAACATTTTAACCCCCCGATCATTTCTTTCTTCTCCAAATCCGCGATTCCCGCGACAAAATCGAAATCTCAAGACAAGTTTTCATTGCTAGCGTCTATGTCCATAGGAAGCGACTCATCTCAAGTGTTATTCAATGGATCTAAGCAAAATGAAGACATTCTGGCGAAGTGAAGACTTGAAGGATTGTCCTCTACTAGAATCTTGCAATTACTATCACATTGTCTATTTTGCAAAAGAAAGCTGCAAAGTGATGGTCCCATTTGATTTGACTAGAAAATCACGTTCTTTTTTCCTAAACAATCCTCACCAGCTCAAGACAAAGCTGCAATGTTGGAAATCAAAACCCCACCTCCCATCTAATCTTTTCACAGAACATGAATGCTCTGCCCTAGTTGCTGAAGCAGTCGTTGCAATGAATTGAGCACTTTTCTTTCTCTGTTGTGCAGTTGCCCGAACGTTTTCCACATTCCCAGTCCTGATGATTGTTAATTCTTAGCTTTGCCTGAAAAGCCCATATCGGTAGTATAATCAAGGGTGCAATCGAGTCGAGTTGATACGGTGTCAAGTTTGAGCTTGACTCGATTCGCTTACTCGGTGCTGGAAACTCAACTGAAGTTCGATCACATATCAAAATTTAGGCTTGAGCTCGAGTTGACTTGAAACTCCAAACACTCAGAGCTCGACTCAATTTAAAAACAGATATATATATGTACTCGAGCTCAAGCTTAATAAGCTCAGATATTTTTCTCGCATTGATACATGTGATGTGATGGTACAACATGTAATTCTAAAGACTATTGTAATGTATTTTTTAACAAAGTAATAAAAACTCGATTATGCTTGCTAGCTTTTCAAGCCGCGTGATGGCGAGCTTTAGCTCGACTCACCAAAATACTCGAGTTCCCTGACCACTAGCTCGACTCGAAATGAGGTGAGTCAATTTTGAGCAATTACCCAGTCGAGCTGGCGGCTACTCGAACTTGAACCACTGGTGAGTAGCTTCAACTTGACTCAGATTCACCCGACTATAGATATGTCCATGGCGAGTTTAACATTTTAACCCCCCGATCATTTCTTTCTTCTCCAAATTCGCGATTCCCGCGACAAAATCGAAATCTCAAGACAAGTTTTCATTACTAGCATCTATGTCCATAGGAAGCGACTCATCTCAAGTGTTATTCAATGGATCTAAGCAAAATGAAAACATTCTGGTGAAGTGAAGACTTGAAGGATTGTCCTCTACTAGAATTTTGCAATTACTATCACATTGTCTATTTTGCAAAAGAAAGCTGCAAAGTGATGGTCCCATTTGATTTGACTAGAAAATCACGTTCTTTTTTCCTAAACAATCCTCACCAGCTCAAGACAAAGCTGCAATGTTGGAAATCAAAACCCCACCTCCCATCTAATCTTTTCACAGAACATGAATGCTCTGCCCTAGTTGCTGAAGCAGTCGTTGCAATGAATTGAGCACTTTTCTTTCTCTGTTGTGCAGTTGCCCGAACGTTTTCCACATTCCCAGTCCTGATGATTGTTAATTCTTAGCTTTGCCTGAAAAGCCCATATCGGTAGTATAATCAAGGGTGCAATCGAGTCGAGTTGATACGGTGTCAAGTTTGAGCTTGACTCGATTCGCTTACTCGGTGCTGGAAACTCAACTGAAGTTCGATCGAATATCAAAATTTAGGCTTGAGCTCAAGTCGACTTGAAACTCCAAACACTCAAAGCTCAACTCAATTTAAAAACAGATATATATGTACTCGAGCTCAAGCTTAATAAGCTCGGATATTTTTCTCGCATTGATACATGTGATGTGATGGTACAACATGTAATTCTAAAGACTATTGTAATGTATTTTTCAACAAAGTAATAAAAACTCGATTATGCTCGCTAGCTTTTCAAGCCGAGTGATGGCGAGCTTTAGCTCGACTCACCAAAATACTCGAGTTCCCTGACCACTAGCTCGACTCGAAATGAGGTGAGTCAATTTTGAGCAATTACCCAGTCGAGCTGGCAGCTACTCGAACTTGAGCCACTGGTGAGTAGCTTCAACTTGACTCAGATTCACCCGACTCCAGATATGTCCATGGCGAGTTTAACATTTTAACCCCCCGATCATTTCTTTCTTCTCCAAATCCGCTATTCCCGCGACAAAATCGAAATCTCAAGACAAGTTTTCATTACTAGCATCTATGTCCATAGGAAGCGACTCATCTCAAGTGTTATTCAATGGATCTAAGCAAAATGAAGACGTTCTGGTGAAGTGAAGACTTGAAGGATTGTCCTCTACTAGAATCTTGCAATTACTATCACATTGTCTATTTTGCAAAAGAAAGCAGCAAAGTGATGGTCCCATTTGATTTGACTAGAAAATCACGTTCTTTTTACCTAAACAATCCTCACCAGCTCACGACAAAGCTGCAATGTTGGAAATCGAAACCCCAGCTCACAGACATTTTATTTTCACACATATTCTTTTTACGAACATGCATGGGAGAAATATATCCTCAATTAAACTTTCATATGTATGACTTGTACCATTCACGACATTTTTTGATAAATAAGTCTATACAATATTTATCGCAAAATCTAATACAACATCATCTAGATACAATGAGAGAGAGAGAGAGAGAGAGAGAGAGAGAGAGAGAGAGAGAGAGAGAGAGAGAGAGAGAGAGAGAGAGAGAGAGAGAGAGAGAGAGAGTAGTTGGATTGGACTGTTATATTTCTTCCCCACTTAACTCCTTAGTCAAGGATCCATCAGAAAAGGAAAAAAAAAACCCTAGTTAGAACAGTCTAAAAATGTGGACCTATGCCAACTAATTAAAAAGACAGTTTGAGCTTGATATGCTGAGATTGTGATGTATACCCTTGATAGAAGCAGCTTAATCATATATGTTGGAGTGCCTCCTTGCTTCAATTTGGCCTCATTGTTGCTACCAACATTGCTAACGTGGGCTCACAAGAAACACTTCCAATTTGGATTCAAGAAGTTAAATAAGAAAATGCACAGTTTTATATGGGGGTCCTTTTGTGCCCAATGTTAAATTTATCCTTTTTTCCCCTTTGGTGGAGCAAGTACTGCAGTTTCAAAATTTATAGTACCTAAATATATGTAAAGTTATAATCTCTGTATATATTTCGATATATTTCGATGACTTTAACACGTTGTAGTCGAAACCTTTCACATGGAAAGATCTGATAGAAGTGCAAAGAGAAATATAGAACAACATTTAAAAGTCAAATTTCGATTAATCATACAGCTCCGAGCAGAGCTACTTATTATAAATTTCGAAAGTCCTTGTCATCGTGGATTAGGTTGATTGTTAATCTAATGGAATTAAAGCTTTTGTCATCCGTCATTGAAAACGTGGGATGGTGAAGCACGGACAGGGAAAGGAAAAAGAGAAAAGAAGTACTTGGGCTGACTGGTAGTTAATGCTGCGAATTCCCATCTTATAAACAAACCCTACGCAACGAGAGAGAGACCAGCTCTCACACCAAGTTAAGCACTGTTCTCTGAATCCCAGTTGAGAGAACATCATGGGTTCTTCTTCAAGAACTCATCATCAACTAGATCTTGCCTTCCTCTTCTTTGCTTCACTTACATGCCTGTCTCTGTCACATACTTCTCTCCCCAGTGAGTATTCGATCATCGGCCATGGACAGGACCAAAACGACGCCATTTCGGACGAACGGGTCATCGAGCTCTTCCAGAGATGGAAGGCGAAGCACAAGAAGGTGTACAATCATGCGGAGGAGGCCGAGAAGCGGCTCGAGAACTTCAAGAGTAACTTGAGATACGTAGTGGAGAGAAATAGGGAGGGCAAGAGGTCAGGCGATGACAAGAGGCATAGCGTGGGGCTGAACAAGTTTGCTGACTTGAGCAACGAGGAGTTCAAGCAACTTTACTTGTCCAAGGTGAAGAAGTCGGTCAACCAAAAGTGGAGGGCCAAAAGAGAGAGCTTGAGGAGGAGCGAGAGGAAGGGAGTGCAGTCTTGCGAGGCACCATCTTCTTTGGATTGGAGGAACTATGGCATCGTCACTGGTGTGAAGTACCAAGGACAATGCGGTACGTCTTTGACCTGCTAATTTGATTGGTTTTGCTTCTTTCATCATAATTTTTGGGGTGTATTTTGCTGATCTCTAAGATGACATCACAAAATCATTAGGAACATACCTTATCCTATCTTCTAGATTTATATGTTTATATCGAGTGGTTCATAGTTCAAAAATCATCATGACCCACGATTGACCGTGTTATTTTCAAAACCGTGATTTGCTTTGTTCCACTCATGCATCATCCCTATAACACGAGCATGCGTGACATTAGATAGTACCGAGTCTAATCGGACTTGAAGCTGTATCTAAAGTTTGAGATTTGTATTCAATCTGATTCGGACTAATCACCGTGTTAGCTTAATATTAAGCTTTATTATGCTTGAACATACGATAAATTTTTTTGGGAATTCTGTTTCGATAGTTGGCAAGTGAGATATTGAGAGAACATGGTCTGCATGCACGTGAACAAGATGCCATTGACTTGACCACTAGAAATTCTTCTTTGTCGTATGTTATTGGTTTGGTCAAATATAAGAAGGTAAGACCACTAGGTTCAAAAACATCGAATTATGTTTTCCGAATACGACTATATGAAATAATTAGTGAGCCCTTGGTGTTGTCGGGTAATTTAATGATAAACGTGGCCAGGTTTCAACCCAATCACTGCACTGCAAGAACATTAGGTAAGTTTGGACTGATTCTGTAGCGATGCAATCGATCTTAGCAATATAGGGACATCGAGGTCCTTAAGAATTTTCACTGTAGAAGGTCCAAATTGTAAGAGAAACCCGCGAAGTTCATGGGACTGCCGATAAATGTAAAAGCTTGAGTTGTTAGGAAACAGGGAGTCACATGTTATCGCCTGTGTGAAGGCTAAAAATAGGATGGAATGGTGAAATCTTGGAGCGTTTTGATCTATGAAAGAGGTTTTAAGAAAGTTAAATATGCCTGAGAAATGAGCAGAAGAGAATTGCCTGATCTTAGTAAAATTCCATCTGGTAAGATTAGAAGAGGATTGGAAAGCCTCCCTCGACTTGACAACCCTAAAGTTTCTTCTCATACGCTTTGACGTCGACAACATGAAAATTTGCCGATCAACCAGAAATAAATAATTGAGCTTCGGAATCAGGCTGTGGCCGTATGGATTATTGAATATTCGCATCCTTGTTTTGTACCACTATGCAGGTTAGATATGCGCAGAAACAAAATAAAGAGCTTGTAGCTCATAGATACGATTAAGTTTAGCAGAAATAGAAGAGAGAGAGCTTTTCGGCTCCATATTTTCTGGAAGAACGAAGTAAAAATTCTCGGTGTTTGAAGAACCCGATTCAAAACCAACAATTTGTAACGTGACACTTTAAATTTGATCCTGTGTTTAGGTTGTCTGTCGCCTGATAATATCAACAATTCTTTAGGATCAAAATGTTTTCCCAAGCATATTATTAAACCAATTGCTAGATTTTGTTACAGTAGGATGTAAATTATGGGTTCTCAATCTTATGGATGCAAATTGTGATCGAAGTCGCAGTTCAGGCACTCAGGTGCTTGTTTATTGTGTGTTTTTTGGGTGATTTTCTCTCGAATATCGCTTGAATGTTGCACTCGATCCACGATCATAGGAAGTTGTTGGGCATTCTCTTCGACCGGAGCCATGGAAGGAATCAATGCACTCAAAACCGGGGACCTGATCAGCCTTTCGGAGCAAGAGCTCGTGGACTGCGTCACCACCAACTATGGATGCGGTGGTGGCTACATGACCAACGCCTTCGAATGGGTCATCAACAACGGCGGAATCGATTCGGAAGAAGACTATCCCTACACCGGCGTGGCAGGTGTCTGCAACGTCACCAAGGTTCGGTCCCGTATGATTCGTATCTTGACATCCTGCATGTGCAAGTCTGAGAGTTCATAAATTTTTGTTTATGAACATCATGTGCTTATGTTTCATTGAATTCACTGATGAGAATGTATCTTTATCCACTTTCCCCTGAATTTATATATGGTCTCATTTGGTCTCTAGGCCATGGAGGCAAAACAAATGCAATGAGTGAATTGTTTTGGAGTAAATTCGATACGCATCTTCTTGAGGGAATTACGTGTGACGTCATAGGAAACATGATGAATAGCATTAGTCTTTTGCCATGTATCTGATTTAGAGTTGATTTTGTTCAATCAGAAGGAGTATAACAAGGCGGTGAGCATTGACGGGTACGTGGTCGTGTATCCGTCAGACAATGCTCTTCTCTTCTCCGTCGTTCAACAGCCGATTAGCGTCGCCATGGACGGCTCCGCAAAAGATTTTCAGCTCTACACTTCGGTAGGTCTTAATTCGTTATGTTCTCACACGAAAACAATTTTGCATACAAACCATTTGATTGATGATTCTGCGAATCAACACATTAGGGAATCTACGACGGTAACTGTTCAAACAATCCTGGCGACATCACCCACGCGGTCCTAATAGTTGGTTATGGCTCTAAAGGTGGCGAAGATTATTGGATTGTGAAGAACTCCTGGGGAACAGATTGGGGCGTGGAAGGATACTTCCTGATACGAAGAAACACCGACCTACCGTTCGGTGTATGTGCCATCAACGCGATGGCTTCTTACCCGACAAAGAGTCTTCCGCGCCGTCTCCCTATCCGTCGTTCCGCCACCCCCACCTCCCCCACCATTCACTCCCCCACCGCCGCCTCCGCCATCGCTGTTAGAAATTAAACCAAATTCATTATTTCAAGCTTGTTGAGGGAATCGATGAAATGTCGTTGATGTCGAGACCGTCGATAAACTGCCGAGTTGACGATATTGATGACTGTTCAGTGTCATGAGTTACATAGAGTTTTTATTATATTGCTGCTTTCAAAATGTCTCTTCATGTCTCGATGTCTATTTAATGTTTTGAGAGTTCCCAGGAGTCTATCTCATTGGAATGTTGGTCTTATTTAAGAGTCATTTACGAGTTTGTTCAAGAGTCATGTATCAAGCCTATATAAAGGCAAGTCTTATAATTATGTAAGATATATGATATAAGGTGAAATAAAGAGAATAGAAAAGTCTATCTATCTCCTTCTCCTCTCTGAGATTGTGTGAATTGTGAGTGTTTCACCTTCAAATTTATCCCATCAAATTAATATCAGAGCTTACGGTTTGTGATCATTGCCTCAACAAACAATCAACTTCCTCTTCAATACCCTTGTCTTACCAAAGATAGATATGGTAATTGGGCTACTAGAATGAACGCCTTGCTCGGTGCGCATGGCGTATGGGAGATTGTCAACACTGGCTATGATGAGCCAGAGGACAAAGCCACCTTGAATCAAACTCAGAGGAATAACTCGGAGAAGGTTCGCACAAAAGATCAATTAGCTCTATCGATCATCTGTCAAGCCCCGGATGATTCTATGTTTGAGAAGGTCTTGAATGTTTCTACTTCAAAGGAGGCGTGGGAGATCCTTTACAACATGCACCAAGGAGTAGAAAAAGTGAAGAAGATCCGTCTTCAAACTTTGCGAGGCGAATTCAAGGTAATCCGTATCAAAGAATCTGAAGTGATTGCTGATTATTTCACAAGAGTTTTGGCGATTGTCAACCAGATGAAATGAAATGATGAAGATGTTTCAGACGTTCGTGTCATTGAGAAGATTCTTTGGTCATTAGACAAGAAGTTTGACCATATTGTTGTTGCGATCGAAGAGTCCAAAGACATGGACGCTATGACAATTGATGAGCTTCTAGGTTCCTTATAAGCTCATGAAGAAAGACTTAGAAGGAACAAGAATGAGTCGGTGGAGGAAGTACTCCAAAGTCGGTTATCTATCCGAGAAGAGAAGGACCAAAGTAGTAATCTTGTGTAGTCTCGAGGGATTAATCAAGATCGTGATCGAGGTTGAGGCCGAGGTCGATTTCAAGGTAGAGGTCGTGGACGAAGCAGAGGAGATGTTGCCCGCAATGGAAACCAATACCAGAGTCAAAAAGGTGTTCGTGGAAGAGGAACGAACTCGAGACAATAATGGTATGATAAATCGAAAGTTCGATGTTATCATTGTAATAAACTTGGTCATTATGCTTTTGCGTGTTGGAATAAAGATGGTAGTGGAGTAGACGAAAAAGCGAACTTGGTAAATGATGCCGATCCAGTTCTTTTATTGGCGTTTAAAGAAGATGAAGGTGAACAAAGCAATACGTGGTATTTGGATACCGGATCAAGCAACTACATGTGTGGAAGAAAGGAAATGTTTGCCGAATTGGATGAGACAATCAAAGGGAAAGTCTAGTTCGGTGATGATTGTAAAATTCTTGTTGAAGGCAAAGGTACAATTTTGATTCGTCCGAAGAACGGTGCACATCAGTTTATTTCTAATGTTTATTATGTTCCAAAAATGTCAAGCAATATCTTGAGTTTGGGACAGCTTCTTGAGAAAGGTTATACTGTCCACATGAAAGATCTTAGCCCTATGCTAAGAGACCAAAATAATAAACTGGTTGCAAATGTGAAGATGTCAAAGAACCGGATGTTTCTTCTCAATATAAAAAATGAAATGGCTTGATGTTTAAAGGCATGTGTGGATGATCCTTCCTGGTTGTGGCATTTGAGGCTTAGCCATCTTAATTTTGGCGGACTCATTATGCTCTCTCGCAAGAAGATGGTGTATGGCTTACCACATATTGATCATCCCAATCAAGTATGTGGAGAGTGTGTTATAAGTAAGCATTTTAGAAATAGCTTTCCAAAGAAAGCAACATATCAAGCGAAGAAGCCACTTGAATTGATTCATTCGGACGTGTGTGATCCAATCACTCCTCAGTCGTATGGTAATCATCGATACTTTGTTACATTTATTGATGATTTTACTCGAAAAACCTGAGTGTATTTCTTGAAGGAGAAATCGGAAGTGTTTGATGCGTTCAAACAATTCAAGAGGTTAGTTGAAAAGGAGAGTGGCTATTTCATCAAAGCCATGAGAACCGATCGTGGAGGAGAATTCATTTCAGCCACATTCAACAAATTCTGTGAAGATCATGGAATTCGG